CTTGATGACGAACTAAATGGTAAAGTGACAATTTGGAATAAAAAGGAGCAAATTAAAGCCTAGGGAAAATCTACATCAAAGCAAATTGCCATAACAAATCAGTTCAGTGAGACAAAATTAACAAAATGGATAAACAAAAGTAGTTCGAATAACTACGTAGTCGCCCTGGTAGTGAGAAATAATAAACATAGGATGATTGTAGTCCTAAGACGGAGAATGAATTGAATGGGTGATATAGTGGGTAATAATATTGACGCTTATAACTTATGCGAAAGATAAAGAGTTGATGAATCTACATCACTATGATCCATTCTCAGTCAACCCACTCAATGTCTTTAAAAGCACAGATGCCACGCGCCAACAAATGCAGGTCAAAACAACCACTGTAATGGAAGCCTCTAAAGCAATAGGTTTCAACATACACAAGGGGAAAAGCAAGATCCTCAGATACAATACGGAGTACATCAATCCAATAACGCCTGATAGAGAAGCTCTGGAGGAGTTGGTAAATTCAATGTGTCTGGACAGCACCATCGATAAACGAAGAGGATCCAATGCAGACGTAAAGGCAACGATTGGCAAAGTAAGCACAGCACTCCTAGAGTCGAAGAACATATGGAACCCAAAACATCTGTCAACCAACGTCAAAATCGGAACATCATGACACTTCCACTGTAAGGAGCTGAAACTTGCAAAACTACTGTAACGATCATAAAAAATACAGGTATTTATAAGATATTCAATGTCCGTTGACCTGATACTATCAGCAACAGCCTACTGTGGGAGAGAACAAACCGACTTCAAACTGAAGAGGAAATTAAGAAAATACGATGAAAGTATATGAGACATATATTGTGGAAATCATCAAAGTACATCAAGCGCTAACTTGGAATGCTGAATGGAAATGGAAAAGAGGAACACCAAGGAACATATTACGTTGGGAATTGGGAGCAGATTTCAAAGAAATGAATAGCAACTGGCAAGAAATGGGAAGTATTGTTCAGAATAGAGTTGGATAGAGAATGCTAGGTAATAGGCGTAAGTAAGTGAGTAAGTTCAATCTTACATTTTTGTATATAGGGATTAAACTGGTTCAGTTATAAACTCGATATTGATAAATAGTACATCTTATTGATAATTCTGGGAACAGAATAGAATATATAACGTTTATTTACAAGTCAGATGGTAGTGGATATCCGTAACATTTTCAACTGATAAGCTCCTATCAGTGATACAATTACGATACAGTATATTGTACTAAACCTCTTGATTTTCAAGAAATTCACGATAATCAATGTACGTTTTCATCTCTAATCAATTTGTACTAATAACTGAATTTTCAGTGAATCATTCTGTTAATTTAGATACTAGTTAACATTATTACAATATACTCAGTTTTTAATCTATAATAGGTCACAACTTCGAACACTAATACCCATCCTCCATATTCCACTCCTCTCTATTCGGATCACTGAGCAGTGTGTTAACAGTGGTTCTCATAAAACTATGTATGTGATGGTGGTTAACACCGTCAATAATATATTTCGATAAAATGTCATTGTTGAACATACGTTTTATCGAGTTCTTTAAGTATATGGAAGGGGGAGGTAAATATCATAAAAATCAATTCTTCTTCAATATCATTTATAACACCCTCTTCATCTTGAGTTTCCTAACTGAATTAATTTGTTTAAATTAATTTTCTCCATGAATCGATCCTTTGAATACGACAGAAACGAATGTTGAAATCAGTATTAGTAGGTCTCGAAAATGATCTATTCTAAAGACGACCTGGGCATAAAATATGACAGTTGATTGGAATATTAAATTTGAACGTCGGGAGTGGTGGATGAACATATGAATATAAACTTTAATACCTAAAAGAGGAGCGGAGTTCTACGTGGGTTATGTCGAGACATGATCAGATTATTTGAGCAAACGCCTTCAGCTAATAATCTCTGATAAGAATAAGAAGGTTAGCATAGTTACTGAATATCTACAAAGTAATCTTATTTTCTGAAGAATTATTTACCTGCAAAGTTAACTGTTTCGATTAATCATGTTCGGTAAAGTTAGCCAACTGGATATTGATGATAATATTAGATCATGATATATTAAACAATCACTGGGACAGAAAATATGTACTAACATTTTCCAGTCGTATATGAAGTTACTCATGGATATCACTTAAAAAAATAATAAATTGACAACTTAATTTGTTGTGAAGACCTTAATTGACAAGTAAAAATAACACATTGGATTGTTGGCTTATTCAGTTTTAAGTCGTACTGATTTAATGGTGTTAAGCGAGTACAATTTGAAGTAATCTCACAAGTTCAAAGGTGCCCTCAGTTTTATCTACTTTACATTGAGTTAACAGGTAGAAGTATTATTATTATTAGTGGTAGCAACATTTTTAACTAGTTGATCATTAAGTTACCTGTTACCGTGAAAAACTCTTTATTTGAATACTGAGACTAAAATGTGTCAATTATGCATTTTCAGAACGTGGGTTTGTGGAGATTGTGGCAACTTCAATAGTTGGATCCATGAGTCCATTTAAGCTAGAACATCATTGGAAACCTGGAAGCACTGGATGGCCTTTTCGTCCTAGTATGGGACTCCTCAGCAGTGCACATCCACGACTCCGCCTCATGAGATTCGAACCCAGGACCTATCAGTCTCGCGCTCGAGCGTTTAACTACTAGACCACTGAGCCGGCACCCAACGGTGTTTTATTTATTTATTTATTATTATTAATAGCTTTGTTCAACATTATATTTTTGGTACAACATAGAATTCTCAGCATAATGTCTAACTTGAACCAATCCACTAAATTACGCCATGACACATGATTTCAATTAATGAAATATATAAATATATCTAATGATTAAAAACCCTTGTGGGTGCAAGTACAATTAAATCGAAGATTTCAAGTTTAATGAATTCTTCTCTAAAATGTTTTAAATAACAATAATATCAGATAGGTTTTGTGAATATTATAGTAACTTCAATGGTTAAGATCATGAGTCAGTTGAAGTGACTGGCTTCAAGAGGTATTTCCTGGAGTTCTAGTGAGAAGTAGTGACCAGTGGAGTTCAACCAGGTCTGTTATGAGATAGTAACTCACTAAAGACAATGGTGGATGTGTCGTTCAATTCCGTGGATTAGTTGAAGTTAGACATTAACACTGTTGGATGCCCGCTCAGTGGTCTAGTGGTTAAGTGCTCGCGCTCGAAACCAGTAGGTCCTGTGTTCGGATCTCGCAGAGGGCAAGGTCGTACATGCTCACTGCTGAGGAGTGCCACAACAGGACTAAACGACCGTTCAGTGCTTCCAGGTTTTCCATGGTGATCTAGCTTAACCATTGAAATTAAATAACATTCCCTAATTTATAAACGGAGATGGATAGTGGCTAGCAGTGGAATCCAGGACGCGCGTTTCGTCCTGTTTGGGACTCGTCAGCTGGATGTACCTGCATCTCAGAGTTGATGTTCACTCTGGGACTCGAACTCAGTACCGTTCGCTTCAAACGCCATCGCGTTATCCACTTATCTAATGAGTCCTGGATTCCACTGCTGGCCACTATCCATCTCTGCTTATAATGCTTGTAAATTAAGGCAATATCGAGGCACACGCACAGTATGCACATATGACAATAAGAGACTGATCAACTTCAATCCTAAAACATCAATGGGAAGATTCAAATAAAACAATATCAAGTGAATTCCCTAATTTATATTAGAAAAATTATTGAAAATTATCTTAATCCTAATTGGTCAACATGTCTCATTTATCTTACCATAGAAATGATTTATATTCCACCAATCAAAATAAAGTCCATTTGTCTATGTCATCTGAATGAACTAATCATCATTATAATAAATATAGTCATCTTTTTTTTCCAATATTGTTGGTCTAACTTCAATGGACTCATGATCTCAACCATTGAAATGACTATAATCTCCACAAAAAAACCCCTTCTGATACTTATATATCTCTATTTATTCATTAATTCATAATCGATGCTAAATGTTGACATTTGTCATTTTTTTTAGTCTTAAATCATGAATTTGAGGAATTTTTATTCATGAAAATAACAAATAATTAAAATTACCCTTGATAATAAAAAAAATTAGAATAGAAGGGGGGTGCGCCTGTCATCACTTGAAGAACGTTGAAAATATAGTTACTGACTAATTAGCAAGTAGTAAATAGTGCTATGCTTATCTAATCTATAATATTGATTAAATTGTAATATCATCGCTAGTCTAAGTGATTTGACATCCTATGCATTATATTTAAATATTAAGCGGTAGAAGGTAATTAGTTAAACTGGGAAAAACAATGTTTCGTATTCGCTAGTGATCGTCATTATTTTGTACTAGTCTAATGTTCCCTGTGCAAGATTCGATTTTGTAATATCAAATGATGTAATCACCTAGATTCATCATTTTTAGGGAGGTTGATATATTTATCGACAAAATTTAAACAAACTTAAGGACTAGACAAATACCATACTGATTATTTGAAAATATCACAACTATGAAGGCGATCACTTGAAAACTTAATATCAAAGAGTTGAACTGTGAAACTGGGCAACACGGATTCCAATCTCACAAGGAATATTAGTCACCTTTAAGATTGTATATATGCTATTGCAACAAATAGCAACCAGGAAAAAGCACGTAGATCCTAAGCTCCTCCCTAGTTATCATCAATCTTCCGACTGAAAACGTAATGAAAAAAAATATATATAATGCAATAAATGAGGTTGAGTGATTCGGAAGTACTTCACACTAACAAGTGAATATATCAACAACATTGTATTAATAATTAACCTTTCAACAACTAATATATTTCTATGAATTTTCTTCGAATTTTATAAATTAGTATAGTGATCAGAATTGGCAAACTTTCTAAAGCAAATCTGTATATAATTCATTTTGTGAAGTGTAAAATTCTAGGCTCAAAGATTTGATTTAGATTGCATGTATAAGGATTAGTGATGTCAGTACAACAACAACAACAACAACAACAACAACACCTACTACTACTACTACTACTACTACTACTACTACTACTACTACTACTACTACTACTACTACTACTACTACTACTACTACTACTACTACTACTACTACTACTACTACTACTACTACTACTACTACTACTACTACTACTACTACTACTACTACTACTACTACTACTAAAACTACTACTACTACTAAAACTACTACTACTACTAAAACTACTACTACTACTAAAACTACTACTACTACTACTACTACTACTACTACTACTACTACTACTACTACTACTACTACTACTACTACTACTACTACTACTACTACTACTACTACTACTACTACTACTACTACTACTACTACTACTACTACTACTACTACTACTACTACTACTACTACTACTACTACTACTACTACTACTACTACTACTACTACTACTACTACTACTACTACTACTACTACTACTACTACTACTACTACTACTACTACTACTACTACTACTACTACTACTACTACTACTACTACTACTACTACTACTACTACTACTACTACTACTACTACTACTACTACTACTACTACTACTACTACTACTACTACTACTACTACTACTACTACTACTACTACTACTACTACTACTACTACTACTACTACTACTACTACTACTACTACTACTACTACTACTACTACTACTACTACTACTACTACTACTACTACTACTACTACTACTACTACTACTACTACTACTACTACTACTACTACTACTACTACTACTACTACTACTACTACTACTACTACTACTACTACTACTACTACTACTGATGATGATGATGATGATGATGATGATGATGATGATGATATCTTTACCTAAGAATTTCTCTGATAAGTGAGAAAACTGTTCGGTGTAATATGATTAACAAATTATTGATATGTTTTAACGAAATAACCATATAATAGTCAGACTCGGTACCCTAATGAACTCACAGTTGTTAATTTTTCCATAAATAAGAGGACCGTATACTAGATTTTTTGTTGTTGACCAAAACTGAATAATATTATAAGATATTACAAAATCATATGTAGTTTAATCCAACATTCACTTAGGCAGCTTATAATCTAACAGAGATAGATCAAGACAGATCACTTTTCAATACCAAAAATGGGTAAATACAAACTTTTACAAATAATCATAAATATTTTCACTATTCAGATTACGAATTGATCCTAGCTAGACCACTATTAGAAGCCTGGAAGCACTGGGTTTCCATTTTATCCTAGTATGAGATTCCTCAGTAGTGTCCACTCATGACTCCGGGCCCGGGAGTGGAATCTGTGAGCTTCGATTGCACGGGTGAACTCTTACCTCCAGACGATCAAGCCAGCATCCGACAATGTATTTCTTCAGTTTTATTTAATCCACGATAATATATAACCCTCGTCCTTTGCTCAAACTGAATAACATTCTCACACCCGATATGGTTGAACTCCATCGGTCATAGCTTTTAATTGTAACTCAAGAAATCGCATTCTGAAGCTAGTCACTATTGAGTGCGTAACTCTTTGTACAGAGTTTTACATAGATAATGATTTTTTGAAGAGAATTAAAAATAAGGAGCTGTCCATTGTACATTGATGCCCAATCAGTGAGATTTCAACTTAATTTCTTTTACTTTAAATTCCATCAATAACCCTTAACTCTAAACAATCTTATTCATAGTTGAGAAAACCTAGAAATGTCCTGTACAAGAACAAAGATTAATCATTACTATCAGCCACTATTTAATGTAGACCACCATGGAAAACCTGGAAGCACTGGAATCTCGCGGGGTGAGGGATCGTGGATACGCACTACGAAGGAGTCCCATACTAGGACGAAACGGTCGTTCAGTGCTTCCAAGTTTTCCATGGTCGTCTAGCTTCAATTGACTCATGATTTCAATCTGTGAAATTTCTAAAATTTCCACAAACCCCTTCTGATACTACTGCATGATTTATGCATATTAATTGAAAAGTAAATAACTGTATGGATTGCATTGGATTGTAACAATGTATAATCCCGGTAGAAAATCAGACATGGATTTAAGAAAAAAATAAACCAGTTGACTGATCATACTGGATTAACTATTCTCAATTTCTAAATATCTTCAACAATATGATATGTCAATTCCATCAAACGAACAATTCGATTTATCTCGGAAATAGAAAATGGTAACTATTCTATTTCATGAATGATGTTGTAAATGTTATTTTGTTTTTCTATTTACAATTATTCAAATGATTTAGATTTAAAATTACACTTCAACTTGTATAATTAACTTTTACATTTTAGTTGCTGGGTCAAAATGAATGATAATAATGATAGTAATAGTAATGGTAGTAGTAATAGTAGTAGTGGGGGGGTGGTAGTAGTAGTAGTAGTATGCCTTTTTCTCAATACAAATGAAATTTACTCAACTGAATGTAAATTATTATCATTTTGATGATGATTATTAATATTGAGGTAATTAAAATGCATAGTTCAATATTTAATTAAAATTTAAAATATGCATAACTTTTTTTAAAGTCATAGCAGTGTATGATTATTATTAACTTACATGTTTCTATATATATATATATATATATATATATATATATATATATATATATATATATATATATATATATCAAAGGCGATGGATGTGTACATGTATCTATGCTGCGTTATACATCATGTGTACTTGTTTCTATACACAATTATATATACATTTGTATCCATAGTTTTTGGTGTAGATATATGTGCAAAACATCTTACTATTCAATACAATTATTATATTGGTATTATTATTATTATTATTAAAGTGAATAGCACGTGTATTTATACATAAGTGTATATGTATTTTTATATACACAAACTGATTATATAATTTGTATATTCAAATTTTGCACTATTTTTAAACTTCTTTACTTAGATCAATTTCTCCCTTTCTATTACTATTACTAAAATGATTATTATTATTATTATCAACATAAGTACAGAAGAGTATATTTCAAAAAGAGATAGAAATACTCACACATTCATAAATATCATGTGTTAACTAATCTTAGTGTATACACACAATGACTTAGTAACAAGTAAATAATCATAATAATAATAATGTATATTCTTATTGTCGATACTTGAAGCCTTAATTCTTACCATATATATAGATGTATATACATACATTTCAATATTTCATAATCATATGTACATACAATGAAACATGACTTTTTGTTAAACTATGTTAACTGATAGTATTATTGTTATTATTTGAATAGTAAAGAAGAAAAAAAGAAGGTTGTATTTTAAAAGAAAGAAAAGATAGTTAAATGTTCAATATTGTAAATCTTTTCTTTATAATATTTATTTACTTACATTACAATTGAAATAGGTATACATAAGGTGATAATAAATATGCATAATATAAAGGTCCAATGTAATACATTCATACAAATAAGATTATAATACTCAAGCAAACATATCCGTAAACATATTTAACATAAATACATACACACATACATACAATCATAGAAAGTATAATTATCCATGGACAAAGTATTATCTATCACGTGTATGCATAGATTCTTTTTTTGTTTCTAAATCATTCAACTGGTATTATTGTGATAGGTTTACTTTTTAAAAAGCAATGATAATATTCATATGACAAAATACGATTTCATTGAGGATCAGGTAATGAATGTATGAGTAGTTAGTCGTTGTTGTTATTGTTGTTTTTTTCTTCTTAAAAAAAACAAATAAACACTAATATATGTTTATAATTGAAGATAAAGAGGAAGAGAGAATAGGGTGGAATGATTGTTCTATTTCTGAATGAAAAAAGAAATTATTTAAAATTGAAACATTTATTCATTATTACAGTGGATGATGGTCATGCGGTTTCGTGGATTGATTGAGGTTAGATATTAACGTTGTGAGATGCCGGCCGGTTCAGTGGTCCAGTGACTCAAGGGTTCGCGTGCGAGACTGAAAGTCCTGGGCCTGAATACTGCTGGGCAGAATTGTGGATGCGCATTGCCGAGGAGGCCCACAGTGGGATGAAACGGCAATCCAGTGCTTCCAGGTTTTTAATGGTGGTCTAAAACCAATCAATTCATGATCTCAATCAAGAAATTAAAATCAAGCGGAATGAATTTTCACTTAGTTTCTATAGCCAGTCAGAAAATAGCTTTTGTAGATGGATTTTTTTAAGGAAAAGAAAACAACAATATTACAAACAGTAGGGGGATTATAGACCTTATGGCTTCCGAAGAATCTTGGCTTTCATTTTGAAGTGTCATAATTCTTCTGAATGAAGAGCCTTCAACTCCCAGGGTGAAGTTTAAATCGTTTAATTTGTTTATTCTGGTTAGCTTTTTTTAGCAAGGTTGTTTTCTGTGGGATGGGATTGCTGAACCCATGACCAACCCTCCTCCTTTTTTCTTGGCTTGGGACCAGCAGTAACCCTGAAGAGCTACGGGTGGGGTTATTATAAACAGTATTTAGAAAAAAAAACAATTTTTTCGATCCTACAGGTTATTCTACTTGTAATTCAACAAAAACAATGAAATGAACTCGTTCTAAGAGATACACTTTGTCTATATTCTCAAACTCTTTAAATCAACCAAATAGATTTTTCAGTTTCTACATTGTTCCTAGATAGGATTGATTATTTAGAGGTAAGATTAAGGACTTAAGGTTAAAGTTTTCATTAACAACTGTTAACATGTGAAAATATTCTGTAGCCATAAGGATAAATGAATTTTGTACAAAAATCCAAAAGTTGCTATCTGATTATTTTGTTCATAAAATGTAGTGTTACCAGGTTTAGGTTGATTTTAGAATTAATACGGTTAGTTATAGTGTCAATTTACCTGTTATATACAATTTAAAAAGATAAAATTGAGTATTTAATACGTCTAACATCATAATTTTTACTCTAGATTTCGCTATCATTTTAAACGTTTTGGGCAGTAGGCAAAGGTATTTCTACTGTTTATTACACTATAACACGTTTTAAACCTCACACTGTTAACTTCTTGTTCCGATTATCAGATTGTCTTAATCTCACTCTCGTGTTATTTCTGATTGTTGTCAATTGCTTTCGTTATTAAATGTAAGTAAATTCTATATGCTTATTGAGTTGTCGGCTCACTTTTTCTCTTGTTCTTTTCTTTTCCAGATAATCCCATTTACTGATCATAACAATCCTCCAGTACAAAAGGTATCTTCAGGCTAGCCTACCAAAGACTGAATGTTACAATAAATGATTGATGAAATTCGCGCAAAAATTACAAAGTCGTGTTCTCGATCCTGACCAGCTCGTTCCTAAAATATATTTTTATCAGTGGATTATTTATCAATGAGAATGATTGAAGGTTCTGAATAGAATTAATCATTAGATGAAGTAAGTCTCGTAGGGTTGTTAAAAGTACGACTAGTGATTACGAGTTAAACTAGTAATATTGTTAAAAATGAGTCAACGGTGAGGTTAAAATGATCTTGTGAATTTGAACTTTTCATTTAGTCAATAAATAGAGAGTCTGGTAGAGATCACAAGTATTTCGTAATGAAAGTAGGGAATTCTATTCGAGTTAAATGCTTTTGCAAAGATCATTCAAGGTCTATAAGCAGTTTTTTTAGCTTAAAGATTTGAAGAATATTGTTGAATATACTTATTTATCTGAATGTTAAATGATTCACATTAAATGCATTCTTACAGCTATGAAAAATTAGTTGTATAGAAAATATATTAGTTCTTATGAAATATTTACCAATAAGGTCACTGAAGAGTTAGACAAATAGACTTATCAGACAACGGTATGGGAGTTTTTCATTTTATTGGAATTATAATCTATCTTAGCACTATTATTTCATACTTAGTTAAATTTGTTAACTCTTTTGGAGGATAGTCCACAGACCAGGAATCTCCAACAAGTTCTATCTTGGGCTTTCGTTTCTAGATGTTGACAATTGCTATCCATTCTCTGAATCTCATTCATTGTACGGTGATTCCACATACCTATATTAATCGTTGCTCTGATTGTTAGAAGAAGAATCGGCCATATGGCTTCTTGATTTGCACCACAAGTTATCGTAAGTTTTCTATATCTAGACCCTTCAACTCTGGGGCAGAGTCATAATTGTTTTAATGATATTTTTTCCAGATAGCTTTATTTTTAACGAGATTCTTTTCTATAGAATGGAGTTGTCAAATTCCGCCTGGCGCCCCTCTATAGCTACTGTCAGTCCCAAGCCCGGATAAGGGGGGAGGGTTCGGCATGGGGTTAGCAACCTCATCTTGTAGAAAACTAACTCGCTAGAAAAACGCTAACCGAAAAAAAATTGTTCAAACCATTTAAACTCTGCCGTGGGAGTCAGAAGGTCTTCATTTAGAAGAGCTATGACGCTTCATAGTGAAAGTCAAATTCCTTTGGAAGCCACGAAGTTGATGCACCTCTTGACAACCATAGCAACCATTAATTTAGATATATCGAATGCTCGTATAATGAGGGAGACTAGGAGAGTTTTTCAAATTGTTGCAGAAATGAGAAGATACAACCTGGAGGTGCTTGGGATCAGTGAAAAATATTGAACGCAAGTTGGACAACAACGACTAGCTTCAGGGGAGCTTCTGTTATACTCCGGCCATGAAGAAAAAAATTGCCCCACATACACAAGGAGTTGCATTGATACCGTCCAAACAAACACAAAATGCACTTATAGGATGGGAATCTCATGGACCAAGGATCGTCAAAGCCTCCTTCAAAACAAAGAAAGAGGGCATTGCAATGAACGTCATCCAATGCTATACGCCTACTAACGACTACAATGAAGACGGTTAAAGATTAATTCTACGATAGGCTGCATTCAATCGTGGAGAAGTACCCAACAAAGGACCTGACCATTCTGATGGGAGATTTCAATGCCAAGCTTGGACGGATAACACTGGATATGAAGACATTGTGGGACGACATGGACTGGGAGAAAGGAACGAAAATGATGAGAAATTCGCAAATCTATGTGCCTTCAATAAACTGATCATAGGAGGCACTATATCACCACATAAACGCATTCACAAAACCACATGGACTTCACCGGATCACACTACACAGAACCAAATCGACCGTATCTGCATCAACAAAACGTTCAGGAGGACGATGGAGGATGTGAGAACCAAAAGAGGAGCTAATATGGCATCAGATCATCACTTGCTGGTCACCAAGGTGAAGTTGAAACTCAAGAAGCACTGGATAATGGGGCGGACAATATCACAAAAGTTTAATACGGCCTTTCTTCAGGATACTGACAAACTCAACAAATTCAAGATAGCACTCAGCAACAGATTCTAGGCCTTTCATGAACTACTCCATCAAGAGGAAACTACTATGTAGAGAACCTTGAAAGGGATAAAAGAGGCAATCACTTCAACATGTCAGGGCCACAAGAAGCACCATCACAAGGAATGGATCACTGTTGATACACTGGATAAGATTCAAGAAAGGAGGAACAGGAAGGCAGCAATCAATACCAGCCGAACAAGAGCAGCAAAAGCCAAGGCATAAGCTGAATACACAGAAGTAAACAAGCAAGTGAAGAGAAGCAGCAGAACCGACAAACGTAAATATGTGGAGAACTAGGAGAGAAGGAAATATGAGAAAACTGTATGACATAACAAAGAAACTCACTGGAAATTATGGTAAACCAAAACGAACAGTGAAAAGCAAGGAAGGCAAGGTAATCACCAACATTGAAGAGCAACGAAACAGGTGGGTAGAACACTTCAGAGAACTCTTGAATTGATCAGCTCCACTGTACCCACCCAACATTGAAGCAGCACCCACGGACCTCCCAATCAATGTTGGCCCACCAACAATTGAAGAAATCAGCATGGCTGTCAGACAAATCAAGAGTGGCTGAGCAGTAGGACCAGACAACATTCCAGCGGAGGCACTGAAAGCAGGCGTAGCGGCAACTGTAAGGATACTCCACATTCTCTTCAATAAGATTTGGGATGAAGAGCAAGTACTAACAGATTGGAAAGAAAGACTTCTGGTCAAAATACCAAATAAAGACGATCACAGCTACTGTGATAACTACAGGAGTATCACTCTTCTCTCAATATCAGGAAACGTCTTAAACAGAGTATTGTTAAACAGAATGAAGGACTCCGTAGACGCCCAACTTCGAGACCAACAGGCAGGATTCCGTAAGGATCAATCGTGTACAGACCAAATCGCAGTTCTACGGATCATTGTGGAACAATCAATTGAATGGAATTCATCACTCTACATCAACGTCAGTGACTACGAAGAACCATTTGATAGCGTGAACAGGACAACACCATGGAAGCTTCTTCGACACTACGGCGTGCCTCAGAAGATAGTCAATATCATACGGAATCCCTATGATAAATCAGACTGTATAATCGTGCATGGAGGACAGTTGACAAAGTCGTTCGAGGTGAAGAACAGTGTCAGGCAAGGTTGCTTACTCTCACCCTTTCTTTTTCTCTTGGTGATCGACTGGATCATGAAGACGTTAACATTGAGGGGAAGCATGGGATACAGTGAACAGCTAGAATTCAGCTGGACGATCTAGACTTCGCAGATGATCTGGCTCTTCTATCGCACACGCATCAACAAATGCAGAAGGCGAACAATGTAGCAGCGGCCTCAGCAGCAGTAGGTTTCAACATACACAAAAGGAAAAGCAAGATTCTCCGATACAACAAGGAGAGTCCACCCAGGGGAATTGGAAAACTCTGATTCCAAACCAATGGTGCACGTGGGTTCCAGTATCCTGAGAGAACAAATGGCGTATAAACCAATTGTTGATCACCGGCTACCATGGGACTGCATCTCCTCGTTACGATGCTCTACTGCCTTGTGGATTAGACCTTTAGGTCGATGGCTCGGAGAGTGGCCTCCTAAGAAAACCACCTGTTTTGGTTTGGGCACCCGAGCAGTATAACAGCCCTCACACAAATCTCACTTGATTTGTGTGGAGGGAGTGTATCTGGTGCCCCCTTGTACCAATATCTGCGTGTTCAAATAAATAAGAAATAAACTTTTAATAAATGTCAACACAGTGTGCGTTTGCTGGGTCATCGGTTCTTTTTCTTCTCTTCTCCAACTCTCCTCACTCATACCATTCTGCATGCCCCCCTTATTACACAAAACAATTTCTGGCTAAACGCGGACCCTCAAACTAATATAAACAAAAGAATTGATCAGTTTTGTTTACATAACCTCAGAAAACTGGTATTTGAAGCATAAAGTACACTAAAATTCATACAATGGGAAGACGTAAAAGACAAAAACTGATGAAAGGCGAAGATTTTATACACCATTCAAAAATAAACACAATAACTAATCAACCAAATATATTGATTTATATACGAATTTTACCGTTAAATTAATCGAGGAATATTATGTTTAGGCAAAAATGCTGTAAATACAACAAGATTTTATACCACAATAATATAGACGGATGTCATATTAAACGAACATCAGATTAGATCAATGTAAAATTATGTTATACAGAACAAATATCAGAAAGTTAACGGCGGACCGCTTGAATTTCTGGGCTACCTGTTCTTGCTATCTTAATATTTCAACAAATTATATGCTTTTGCCTGTAATAACACATCATTATGTCTATTAAGGGCATAATGTATTCAGCCGCGTTTATAATAAGCTTACGACCTTTCGTTGTACAAATTACAAAAAAAATACAATCAGAGACATCGTGCTAGTTGGTAACATGCATTAAAAACAATGAATATTATTCAGATGTCGATTCCTGAACTGTTAACATCTAACTGGCGATCATTCAGTGTTTATCTTCAATATCGATTAAGAAATAAGAAATGGGAACTTGTTGAAATACCTTTTACTGAGAATCTTATATTGTACTACAGACATAATACTGAGTAGAGACACTACTACTACTACTACTACTACTACTACTACTACTACTACTACTACTACTACTACTACTACTACTACTACTACTACTACTACTACTACTACTACTACTACTACTACTACTACTACTACTACTACTACTACTACTACTACTACTACTACTACTACTACTACTACTACTACTACTACTACTACTACTACTACTACTACTACTACTACTACTACTACTACTACTACTACTACTACTACTACTACTACTACTACTACTACTACTACTACTACTACTACTACTACTACTACTACTACTACTACTACTACTACTACTACTACTACTACTACTACTACTACTACTACTACTACTACTACTACTACTACTACTACTACTACTACTACTACTACTACTACTACTACTACTACTACTACTACTACTACTACTACTACTACTACTACTACTACTACTACTACTACTACTACTACTACTACTACTACTACTACTACTACTACTACTACTACTACTACTACTACTACTACTACTACTACTACTACTACTACTACTACTACTACTACTACTACTACTACTACTACTACTACTACTACTACTACTACTACTACTACTACTACTACTACTACTACTACTACTACTACTACTACTACTACTACTACTACTACTACTACTACTACTACTACTACTACTACTACTACTACTACTACTACTACTACTACTACTACTACTACTACTACTACTACTACTACTACTACTACTACTACTACTACTACTACTACTACTACTACTACTACTACTACTACTACTACTACTACTACTACTACTACTACTACTACTACTACTACTACTACTACTACTACTACTACTACTACTACTACTACTACTACTACTACTACTACTACTACTACTACTACTACTACTACTACTACTACTACTACTACTACTACTACTACTACTACTACTACTACTACTACTACTACTACTACTACTACTACTACTACTACTACTACTACTACTACTACTACTACTACTACTACTACTACTACTACTACTACTACTACTACTACTACTACTACTACTACTACTACTACTACTACTACTACTACTACTACTACTACTACTACTACTACTACTACTACTACTACTACTACTACTACTACTACTACTACTACTACTACTACTACTACTACTACTAATAATAATAATAATAATAATAATAATAATAATAATAATAAGGAGTCACTGTTACTACAAATTAACAGTAGTTATGCAAAACTTATGAACTTACTATACAGTCTATAGAAAACACAACCAATGCCCATTGCTGATCTCATATTGAGAATATGTCTAGTGTTAAGTTAAATAAACATTTATTGTACATCGATTGATTACTGAGTGATAATTAAAATTATGACAAGTCATTTAGATGAATGGTCACATTGAAATTCGATTGATTGGATTCGATCAATAATAATGGACTAAATCAATGTTATATTAATCACTGATCACTAATCAACCAGTTATTAATATCTCTGTTCTATAGGTGACCAGTTGTAGACTGAATAGCTCAGTGATATCTTCTCAGGCTGTAGAGATGGAAGGATAAGTTAGGTTCAAATCATACAGTTAGCATAAAGTCCCTTGAGATCTCAAACACGTACTGACGAATTCTAACTGACGCGAAGCCTTGATCAAACAGTGTTCCCTGATGCTTATTTTCAACTCCATTACTCTCAATAATAATAATAATAATAATAATAATAATAAACTATAAACTAACCACATTGATGAAAGAAGCCAAAATTGATAAGAACATATATAATCTGATAGTTAAAGGCGAAAAATATAGAATCACTGAATCTTCGTCTAAGTAATCTACAATTTAAAAGCACTTAAACCATATAATCTTGAAGATACTGGATCTTATACCTAGGGATTAGTCGTGGTGAATGAGCTGTGAAAGAGTCCTGTGAACTCAGACGACACATTTTAAGATAATCTCATCTTAAATAGTTGTAATAAAAAAATATGATCAATAATTGTTTTGTTTACCTTTCACTAGTTTTGAAATTGTATATCTCAATAGTAGAGTAAATCTCCTCAAATCTATAAATTTGTCTTCTATTTCCATGAAGGGATTTACCTGGTCATATGCAGGGAGATCACTAGTGTTTCGGAATAATAATAGTAAATTTATTCATTACAATGTGTTCCCTCAGTTGTTTAAGTAGTGATCATATTTTGTATTGATCGAGTTTCAATGTAATCATCAATCTGGCTCCAGATAAACTGTACTATATTTGGATATTATGTAGTTCCTATATGATACTCCCCACTTTAATATATTCATAGTCTAGAAAAAAAATTAGTAATCTTGTATACAATCAAACTTGCATCATCCATTGTTACAGTCAGAGATATCAACTTTAACTAATACTGGACATGGCCCCTAACCTAAAGGGAATCATCAACTTTTTTCACATTTCAAATAAATTCTGTCAAAAACTACTAACTAAATGTAAAATCAATCTCTACGGTCTACTACCTATTGCCTGCCTCCAAACATCTAACATCAGTATACACTATTACTGTGACAATATAATTATTATGATATGTAGTATTATGTATATATATAAGGCATTCCAGATAGGATTACACATTTTATATACTAACATTTTATTTTATTCAAACAGATCAAACTAGTTTATAGGGTGATGACAATGTTCATATCATACATGGCATAAATGTATAGTGGTACTTATAACTTATTATGTAATCATCAGTTCAATGAAATTCAACAATATATCTCATTCAAATGACTTTTAATTTATTTCCCTTCAAGAATTTTGATGAATAATGAAGAATTGTTTTAATAAATATAATACCCCCTACAGAGTGAATGTTTGAGTGTATATATCCAAAGTTCATCAAACATATCTCCTTAACACACACACACATATATATATTGTATTGTATTACGATTTCGTTATAATCGATAAATTGTCGGTTTGATTTCAGTAAGAGATTGAATGTAAATCAGTTACCAACTCATTACTTGTATAATTATAAATTCGTTTAAATTATAATGTGTGATCCATTAAACCTCACACCACCATACCCATTTTTAACCTTCTTCTTTAGCAGTTATCGCTTAATTCTATCACCACGTTTTCTCCATCAAAGTATTATTCACTTATATTAACATATTCACTCATCCTTCATACGCACATACAAACGCACATTAATACACTAGTCTACAGCAATTCGTATCTATGCTTAAATTGTAATTAATATTCACATTCAGTAATTCACAAATAATATTTTTGAGATTCCCTACTGATCTAGTTGACATTGACATCATCTAGTTGAATGACTGACTAAATGATGTAAAGATTGAATTAGGGGCTTACCGAACAGAACATTGATTTAAGTGTACATCAACGATTAGACAAAGTGGTATACTAAGAGACAAATGATTTGAAGAGAAATTTATTGAAAATCATAAGGGAACCATGTTCAAAATTAGGTTAATATTTAACAATATAATTTGATGATGTTGATGATATTTGGGTGTAGAACGACATTCACACACTGTCATTGTTCAACATTTTATGATATCCAACGAAGACAATCTACAAATGAAGCCAATATTTAAAGGTATCCTTCGATCTAATGGTATTTTATTCCTTCTGTTTCATAGTCCACCGACTAGAAATACAATAATGTGTATTTCTGTATGCAAGGTTTGAAGTTATCACGAGTTCACTTAATCTGCGAACGAGAAACATGACTCGGTGACCAAAGACCAGTAAGCTAGCTATTGATGCGTCCCAGACTCGCTAACTAGAGGGAGAAGTCCAAGCTTGGAATGGGAAGTATATTCTGCAAAACAGCCAGGAACGAGCGATAACAACAAACACAATTCAAAACGTATACATACAGTGCAAACCCGTCTTTGGGGAGAATTACCAAATAGCATACTAAAAGACGCAACGGACCAATAGCATTTAAGATATTTCCCAGTGGGAAATACGACATGAAGGTGATAAGAGCGCCTTTGGCGCGAAAACAGAGAATTTCAAAATTTCTAAATAGAATTACAAAATTAGTCCCTTTCCCAAGTGAGTTCTGGGGATTTAACGTCCCCAACACTGTATGAGACTCTTTAATATTTTATGGACAAGAGTTCCTTTTAGTTATATGAATATAAATATTGAGACAACATAAGACTGAAAGAAATCGTTCGGATTTTTATGTTCAGTATATACATATAAGTAATGTCACAGACTGTGAAGCTGAGTGACGTGAGTTCGAAATCCTCACAGACAATTACTATCCAGAAGAAAGGAGATACAATTTATTGCCCAATGCTATCTAACATGAAAACTAAATCCAAGATTTCTTGTTGACGAACTTCAACAACTAAACACAATATTGAATTACTTCATCTACTGGTTATATGAAAACTTGACCAATAAAATGAGGTTAATTTTACAGATAGAAATCATCAGTCAGTCGAAGCTAGACCACCATGGAAATCCTGGGAGCACTGGCAGGGGACCCCCCAGCAGTGCGTATCCGCCCCCGCACCTCGCGGGATCCGAACACAGGACCTACTGGTTCCGCGCGTGAGCACTTAACCATTAGACCACTGAGCCAGCATCCAACGGTGTTAATCTCCAACTTCAACTAATCCATGAATGAAAATGAGATTAACACTAAAAGACCTTGGTAAGTATAAGTCTCGATTATCAGAGTACATTTTTTCATAATTGTACATTTTATAGATAATAATTCATAACTAAATTCAATTCATTGATCATAGTTACAACTTTTGATGAAACGATATAAAACCAACAGAGAATAAAAGAGAAATTAAACTACCATTGTTTGTTCATTTTCTATCATGTGAAAAGCACATGTATTGTATAAGCAGTTCATACATACATACACACACACACACACATAAAACCATAGCAATTATTCATAAAGTTAAATGATATATAAAACTATAATAAAAATGTTCAATGTGTTCAATGTTACTTTGAATGCAAAATCAAGTAACTAGAGTCTCTTTTTTTTTAATTATTGAATGTAAGATTTAAAAGTAAGTTGTTAAGGTAGTCTATACTAGGATGGAACAATTGTGATTTAAGGCTATATTGAGGCAATCTGTACAGGATGCACATATACCAACATGAGAATGGTCAATTATAGTCTTAAATAACAAATAAAACAACACCAAGTGAATATAATTGTTCAGTTCATTTTAACTTTAAATGATTGTCTAATTAAGGTAACTTCAATATGTAAATTACAGAGCTTAACGATCTTCACAAAGTCTTTATGTTGATAGTAGATTTATACTCACTAATGACTAGTTCTAGAAGGTAAGTTTCGGATTTCTAGTGAGAAGCTGTGACTAGTAGAGTTAAATCCTATCGGAACTGACGTAGTCATCCATCAACGACAAAGAATGATGATTGGGCTTAAGATAAAAACATTAACCATGAAAAACCAACTCAGTGTTTTGAAAGTTAGGTGCTATCCATGAGTCCTGATGGTCTTGGATCTGATCTCTGGGGGGAGTTTCAGATTAGCCCTGCTAGAGAATTCTACACTAAAACGAAACAGCTGTCTAACATTTCCTGGTTTTTACGGATTGTTTATTTAAAGTTTATCTGTGAGTCATAGTTACAAAATTCAATAATCTCTACAATATCGTTTACTACAAAGGGATATTTTGATAATTTAATAAAAACATGTTCCTTATATGACTATGTTATCTTTCTGTTTTAAGCTAGGTATAAAACTGTTGAAGGTATTCGTTAATAGAAAGTCTCAATGATTGTAAAATAATTGGTAATATAGAGGAACTATAAAATCGATAATATCAGCAATGATATATGTTAACACACTGGAATTAAACGATCATCTAAATGTTAACTAAACAATGTTGTTGTGAATGACAACACAGGCTGGGATAAGTCAATACATTTTAATACATTACAGAATATCTTGGTAAAATCTGAGAATCATACAGTAAATACTTCATTTATTCCTTGGTTTCCATACCAAACATTCTCTGTCCTCGTTCTCTTCTCGAATTCCTAAACTTTCTGCCTCCAGACATTCTACTTTCAGTTTATTATACATACTACTTATATCTGTCGAAATCAGTAGCACATCCCACAATGTAACTTTGAGTATAATTATTCATTTTAATATAATTTATTATTGTACATAGACTCTCTACGAATAGTATAGGTTAGATTAATCTTCTTGAACTAGATATTTAAATA